TTCTCTCCGGCGGCCGCGTCAGCAAGTTGACCGGTCTTACGAAACTCACCTTTTCAACTTTTACCCCTCGTCTCCTCGGAGTTCGTGCGGCCAAAGGCCGCCTTACCTTTTGTACACGAACCTAACCCATGTTCTAGAGTTTATGCGTGCCAGCCGTGCGCGGGGTCATACAAAAATCGTTTCTGCATCGTCCCACTTACTACGGATGTCCCGAAGGACACAGCCCGGGCCGCGGAGTCAACCGGCCCCAGGCAACTCGGAATACTTGGCTCTACCCGCCAAGTTTCGTAATCCGGGCCCAAGCGCCGGTCTGCATTCCAATAGTTCATGGGTGTACCCACCGCGGTCCCGCGCCCACATATGCGCGTGAAAAATAGTAGTAGCAAAAATTCAAAATAAATAAGTTATACGTAAATAGATATATATAACTCCGCAACATGTGGCAACCAGGTGGGAACCGCGGCCGCCATAACTGTAAAAGCCGAGGGGGATAGTCCCACGGGCCTATCAACCCCTCAAGCCTTTCGCCACTCCCGCGCCGTCGTCCGCTGGCCTCGATCTCCGTACCTTCGCCGCAATAGTCCAACACYRTAACCGATAGGGCTAAGCCCAAGCCTGGTATCAGCAGGCGCGGCCTCCCATACAAACGGTACCGCGCGGTGCCCCTGGCCAAGATACCGCACTGACCACTCTTTTCAGCCCCCATTCGCACCTACGGCCCCTAGGTGCCCACGTCGGGCCACCGCCCCGTGCCGTAGCCGTCCCATGCGCCTACCGGCACGCCAATCCTACCGTCGGTCACGTGCGCCGACCAAAAACGGACCTTCATCCCCTAGCCAATCTCGTGATTTTAGTATGGGTTGGCCGGCTACCCCGTCCGCCCACTCAATCAGAAAAATCACACACGCGCCTTAAAATTGCGCGCCCACGTACTCCCTACCGGGACAAAGCACACTTTTGCCCACGTGCGGGCGACCATCGCATTTTCCCTCACGGACATTCGAAATTCAGGCTAAACGAGTCGCTCTGTCACTTGCAGAAACCAGGGCGGATACCCTTGTAAGGGTATTCGCGCCGACAACGGTACTTCTTTTTGTCCCGACCAATCATACTGCTTCGTACGAATCACTTCATCTGTGTCATATTTTCTATGCTCGATTGTGAATACTATCTCCTCATATTTATCAAAAAGGTAGTGAAGTTGCACATGCACCAGACTGTCAACCCTGTACACTATCTCTTTCCTAAGTGCCACATCGATTTCTAACCGATTTAGAAACTGTTCAAGTTTGCTCGAACCCGCGGGGTCCCAAAATTATTTCCGGACACTTAGCAACGCATTCATTTTCGTGTTAGTCACCTTCACTGATGAAAAACGTATCACTATGATCTTTCCTCTATTGCATACTCGGATTTGACCATAGTAGTCCACCATCACCGGCGCGAGCAATTCTCTTATGGGAATGAAAAGCCACACGCACACTTTTTATTTCTTTTAGTCGTTTGTGTCTCAGCCCTCTTTCATGCATACCTCCCTTCAGTTTGCTAACATTTTCAAAGGGTCAACAACGTCTTTCCTCGATATTGCGATGTCAACCTCTTCCACTTTTGTGTACAGATACCATACATTTGATCCATTATCGCACACGATCGTCTCCTGTTCGTTGACAGAACTCATTATCGGTAGAAATTCTTCATCCGGTCCGACTTCGTTTTTGAGATTTATGTACTCATAATTTAAAAATTCATCGATGATCCCAACTGACCAAATGTTTATGCCTAAAATAATCAGATCCTTAATTGTTGATGGGAGTGGATGAGAGGATCTGCTTCCATGCGAGCTGGTTTGACTGACTTCCATCCTGCAAGTTGAGCACGTAGACGAACAAAATTCACGAGTTTTATTAGATTAGATCATGAATATTTTGAACCAGCACATCTGTTGTATGTTATCTTGTTTCACAAATTACAGAACTACGAATATATACTCCGTATATCGTCTACTTACTCCGCTCTTAGCAAATACTGCCTCACACACCTCTTTCTATTACTTTATGTTTTTGTGTTCACCCTGTATGTTTATCATTTTCGACTACACACATCCACAACATATTTAATAAAAAATATAACTTGTATCCATGAAATAGTTTCATTTTCTAACAACCCTTCCCACGATGCATAATATATCGTAGATAGAAAAAAAAAAATTATGGCCGCTAAGATGATATTTTCACCCCTTTTTCCCTTAACTATAAAGTCTGACAACCCTTCCGGATCTTGTAATATACGGGTTATCCCGTGGACGAGGTCGTGAACCGTAACCATACCTAACATTCATAGATGATCCACATACGTGGATCTGCGGTTTCTCGACTATTGCATTCTCCAAAAATACGAACATGTATTTTATCCTAACAAACCCTGCTGGTCGTGCTAAGGAATTCCCTATACAGTCTCGTATGTCGGACACTTTCTCTTCCACCTCATGCCACAATGAAAAATCTTGAACCCGACCTGCTATTACCACATCTGACTGCCTATTTGGACCACGACGATACGGCACAACCATGAACTTGGACCTATCCAAGTTCAACTTCAAGCCACACGGTTCCAACGGAAAAGACGGTCCCGCCCATCTCCCATATCCATCCCGCTTGAACCAATAAATTGCTCCGCCCTCCGACAACCATTCACTGTCATTGCAATGTTCTTTGTAGACCATCGCAGGGTTGTCTCCGTCCATATAGAACTTAAACAAGTGCGGAGTGGAGTGACCACCAATACGCATGTCGAGGAAGTTTTTGACTGCACCTTTCCAATCCGCCATCTCATTGATAAATGTGCAATCGACCTCATCCTTTGTGGAATTTCTAAGTGCGGCGAACAACTCGTCCATCGTGTAAGCATCCGTGTCCGCTAGTTTTCTAGCAAATAAGCTGAACTTTGCATCGATGTTCGTATGCGTGTGAGCCACTATCATAAATCCCATTTCAACAACCTCGAAAATGCAGAACCTCAGCAATAATGCTAGGTACGCAAACACATATCTGCTTTTGTTTTGACTACCGCAGTTGTCCGCTTGGAGTCTGAAAACAGGAGGCAACACTTCCAACTGCCTCTGCACGTCTCTCAACACCTTTGCGATCAAAGACACAATCGAATCCGGACCATGGGGAAACAAAGGAAACCATGTGTGCACAAGAATGTGTGGACTCCTCCCATGCACGAGAATGCCCGTGAGGTTTGTTTTCATCATTCTGCGGTTATCCATTGCCTTTGATGTGCGGTTTCTAGCTGTGTGAGGAATGAGAGTTTTTGCTTGGTCCATACCATCAATTATGATGCACAAGCTTTTTTCTCTCATGAACCTAGATTCGACGACCATATGTCATAGTGCTTCTGATGCGCCTCTTGCAACAGTCTATGGCGATTCAGTTTTGCAACAAGACTGCGCCTCGCATCTGGCTTGGCCCCTTCAATCAGGTTTGTTTGTTTTGTGCAGTAATTGCATCTAGCGTAGTCTGTTGACCTAGCAAGGTGAACATGTTAGAAGAAGTCACGCCATATACTCCCGAAGACTTGCAAAGAGCAGCAGTCTATGTCCTGTTTCTGCAACCGTCGTTTGATGCTGTCATAGACGTCTTTTTTTGTTGCGTAAGTTGGAGGTAGTCTGACCCGTGGTCTTATCTCGTAGTCTTTGCTCATGTCAGTCTGGTCAGGCATCGCATCACCCTCCTCCATTATCAATGTCTCAAATGTTTTAAATGTCATAGCATGAGTTGCGGATGTTGTGGAATGTCCTTTCCTACCATGAAGAGGCAGCACCCTGCCCTCTTCATGCAATTCCTTGTAGAATGCGTAAGTGTTCCTCGAGAAACCGATTATGTAACACCACGCCTGGATGCATACCCTGTGCTCTTCTACGACTGGTTTCACCACCTTCTTCCGATCTTCAATACACGTGAAACTGTCCAATTGTTTTATCCACCATTTCCGCCTCTCCTCTGGAGTCAGTGATGTATATCTCATTTTCGCCCTATACACCTCCTCTACTGTCATCTTTGAACAACACTGCAGTTTTGCACAACACTTTTTATTTAACACTGCACGACATTCCTCCATGGTGCATTTCTCAACCATTGATTCTTCCAATGAGTCACTCCTTCTCTTCCGCTTTCGATATGTGTATGTTCGTTTGTCTCTCTCTAACCCCAAATCGGTCAACAAGGACACCGAATCGCTTCCCCTCCCCATGGCAGTATTCTTATTGCCATGCACATGAACAGTATGTGCATCGGACATGGGTTCTTGTCGTGTCTTATTGTCCATGTGACCATCGTCGTCACGACCAGCATCACACTTGTCGATGGTATGCAGTGTGCATTCTGCGCTCAGGCCAGCCGAAGGCGGAGCAGCGTGGGTTTGACGAAGCTCTTTAATAATGTTGTCGAGGTTCAATCGTCGAACTACGTTGCCGGATGTGGGAACACACCCTCGGAAAAGTTGTGGCTTTCTACGAGGACTTCGCACGGACAACGCCGATGACCTGCGCTTGCAACTTCCCCCGTATAGTAAAGGGGATCTGCTCTCATCGCTGGAGATTGGTTGAGGTGTCGCAAACTTCCTCGGATATTGAACTGATGGTTGTGAGCCATGAGGACAACTCCCTTTCTCACTCTGGCGGGCTGGAGTGTGCATAGTTTCTGCAAGGCAGTTATAAACGACAGCACAGAAGGAGTAAGAAAGCGGCAATCATATCCGTAGTTGGCACAAGACCCTTCTATGTTATGTTCCTGCTTTGGTATGACACCCGCCCGTCTAACGGTCAACCGCAGCCACCACGCCCGACCATCTAATGATCCAGCGTCCGCACTACGCCCCCCCCCCCCCCCCCCCCTTTTTGATGGCCAGTGTCCGGCACGACACTGGGCCACTCGATTATCTAGCTCTGGCACACGACCACCCCCCGGTCTAGCTGCGGCACAACAACCGCCTACCTAACGATCAATTGCAAACACGAAACGCGACCATCCTGCCATCCTGCAACCCTGCCATCCTGCCATCCTACCGCCCGACCATCCTCCGATCTTTCCATTCCGCCATCCTGCCATCCTCCCATCCGAGCGCCCGACCATCCTGCAGTCGTGTCATGCAAACACCCGACCATCCAACCTTCCTGCCTGCCCTCTACCGGACCAACCGACCATCATGCCATCCGACCACCACATTGTCCTGCCATCCGAGTGCCCTACCATCCTGCAGTCCTGCCATCCGAGCGCCCTACCATCCTGCAGTCCTGCCATCCAAACATCACCCTATCGTCGCGCCACGCCATCCGGTGGTCGGGCTTCAACGCGACACCCTACTATCCGATGGCGGGGCTTCAATGCGACACCCCACCATCCGATGGTCGAGCTTCGATGCGACACTCCACCATATGATGGTCGAGCTTCACCGCTCCACCCGACCCTCGTGCCATCCTCGCATCCTGCAACCCTACCATCCTGCCATCCTGCCGCCCGACCATCCTCCGATCTTGCCATTCCCCCCTCCTGCCATTCTCCGATCCTGCCATCCCACCACCCGACCATCCGACCATCCGACCATCCCGACATCCTCCTATCCGAGGGTCGGGCTCCAACGCGACACCCCACCATACGATGGTCGAGCTTCACCGCTCCACCTGACCGTCGTGCCATCCTGGCATCCTGCGACCCTGCCATCCTGCCATCCTGCCACCCGACCATCCTCCGATCTTGCCATTCTGCCATCTTGCCATCCTCCCATCCTGCCATCCCATCACCCGACCAACCGACCATCCTCCCATCCTTCCATCCTGCCATCCTCCCATCCGATGGTCGGGATTCAACGCGACACCCCACCATACGATGGTCGAGCTTCACCGCTCCACCTGACCGTTGTGCCATCCTGGCATCCTGCAACTCTTCCATCCTGCCATCCTGCCATCCCGCCACCCGACCATCCTCCGATCTTGCCATTCCGCCATCCTGCCATCCTCCCATCCTACCATCCCACCACCCGACCATCCTCCCATCCTCCCATCCTCCCATCCTCCCATCTTGCCATCCTCCCATCCGATGGTCGGGCTTCAACGTGACACCCCACCATACGATGGTCGAGCATCACCGCTCCACCCGACTGTTGTGCCATCTTGACCAGCCGACCGTCCTGCCATCCGACCACCCCACCGTCCTCCCATCCGAGCGCCCGACCATCCTGCCTTCCTTCCATTTTGCCATCCTTCCATCCCGCCATCCCACCACCCGGACCATCCGACCACCCGCGGAGCCCGACCTGACCAGAACCCTAAACCCTACACCATCAAGGGAGGCGGACCCGACCTTGAACCCTAAACCCTGGACCCTGAACCACACACGATCGACCGTCCAACCATGCGACCTTTCCGACGTCCTTCAACCCGACCACTTGACCATCCGACCATTCTGCCATCCCGCGACCTAGAACCCTAAACCCTACACCATCAAGGGAGTCAGACCCGACCTTGAACCCAAAACCCTAGACCCTGAACCACCGTCCTGCCATCCTGCCGTCCTGCCAACCCGCCAACCAGCCCGTCCCGCCATCCTGCCAGCCAACCTTCCAGCCATCCCACCACCCGACCATCCTCCCATCCTCCCATCCTGCCATCCTCCCATCCGATGGTCGGGTTTCAACGCGACACCCCACCATACGATGGTGGAGCGACACCCCTACCCGCCACCGAACCAACCGACCATCATGCCATCCGACCGCCCCATCGTCCTGCCATCCGAGCGCCCTACCATCCAGCAGTCCTGCCATCTGAGCGCCCTACCATCCTGCAGTCCTGCCATCCAAACATCACCCTATCGTCGCGCCGCGCCATCCGATTGTCGTGCTTCAACGCGACACCCTACTATCCGATGGCGGGGCTTCAACGCGACACCCCACCATCAGAGGGTTGGGCTTCGACGCGACACTGCACCATACGATGGTCTAGCATCACCGCACCACCCGACCGTCGTGCCATCCTCCCATCCCGCCACCCAACCATCCTCCGATCTTGCCATTTCGCCATCCTGCTATCCTCCCATCCTGCCATCCCACCACTCGACCATCCTCCCATCCTCCCATCCTCCCATCCTGCCATCCTCCCATCCGATGGTCGGGCTTCAACGTGACAACCCACCATACGATGGTCGAGCTTCACTGCTCCACCCGACCGTTGTGCCATCCTGCCATCCAGACCAACCGACCGTCCTGCCATCCGACCACCCCACCGTCCTCCCATCCGAGCGCCCGACCATCCTGCCTTCCTTCCATTTTGCCATCCTTCCATCCCGCCANCCATCCGACCACCCCACCGTCCTCCCATCCGAGCGCCCGACCATCCTGCCTTCCTTCCATTTTGCCATCCTTCCATCCCGCCATCCCACCACCCGACCCTCTGCCCACCAGACCATCTGACCACCCGCGGAGCCCGACCCGACCAGAACCCTAAACCCTACACCATCAAGGGAGGCGGACCCGACCTTGAACCCTAAACCCTAGACCCTGAACCACACACGATCGACCGTCCAACCATGCGACCTTCCCGACGTCCTGCAACCCGACGACCCAACCATCCGACCATTCTGCCATCCCGCGACCCAGAACCCTAAACCCTACACCATCAAGGGAGTCGGACCCGACCTTGAACCCTGAACCCTAGACCATGAACCACCGTCCTGCCATCTGGCCACCGGACCGTCCTGCCATCTTGTCGTCTTGCCATACCGCCAACCTGCCCGTCCCGCCATCCTGCCAGCCGACCTTCCAGCCATCCCACCACCCGACCATCCTCCCATCCTCCCATCCTCCCATCCTGCCATCCTCCCATCCGATGGTCGGGCTTCAACGCGACACCCCACCATACGATGGTGGAGCGACACCCTTGCCCGTCACCAGACCAACCGACCATCATGCCATCCGACCGCCTCATCGTCCTGCCATCCGAGCGCCCTACCATCCTGCAGTCCTACCATCCAAACATCACCCTATCGTCGCGCCGCGCCATCCGATTGCCGTGCCTCAACGCGACACCCTACTATCCGTTGGCGGGGCTTCAACGCGACACCCCACCATCCGATGGTCGGGCTTCGACGCGACACTGCAACATACGATGGTCTAGCATCACCGCTCCACCCGGCTGTCGCGCCATCCTGCCATCCTGCAACCCAGCCATCCTTCCATCATGCCATCCTGTTGCCCGACCGTCCTCTGATCTTGCCATTCCGCCACCCTGCCATCCTCCCATCCAGCCATCCCACCACCCGACCATCCGACCATCCGACCATCCTCCCATCCGACCATCCTCCCATCCGATGGTCGGGCTTCAACGCGACACCCCACCATACGATGGTCGAGCTTCACCGCTCCACCTGACCGTTGTGCCATCCTGCCATCCGGACCAACCGACCGTCCTGCCATCCGACCACCCCACTATCCTGCCATCCGAGCGCCCGACCATCCTGCAGTCCTGTCATTCGAACACCCGACCATCCAACCTTCCTCCCTGCCCGCCACCGGAACAACCGACCGTCGTGCCATCATGCCCACCGTCCTGCCATCCGAGTGCCCTACCGTCCTGCAGTCCTGCCATCCGAGCACCCTACCGTCCTGCAGTCCTGCCATCCAAACATCACCCTATCTCCGTGCCGTGCCATCCGATGTCGGGCTTCAACGCGACACCCTACTATCCGATGGCGGGGCTTCAACGGGACACCCCACCATCCGATGGTCGAGCTTCGACGCGACACTCCACCATACGATGGTCGAGCTTCACCGCTCCACCCGACCGTCGTGCCATCCTTGCATCCTGCAACCCTTCCATCCTGCCATCCTGCCGCCCGACCATCCTCCGATCTTGCCATTCTGCCATCTTGCCATTCTCCCAACCTGCCATCCCACCACCCGACCATCCGACCGTCCTCCCATTCTTCCATCCTCCCATCCGATGGTCGGGCTTCAACGCGACACCCCACCATACGATGGTCGAGCTTCACCGCTCCACCTGACCGTCGTGCCATCCTGCCATCCGGACCAACCGGCCGTCTTGCCACCAGACCACCCCACCGTCCTCCCATCCGAGCGCTCAACCATCCTGCCTTCCTGTCTTTTAGCCATCCTTCCATCCCGCCATCCCACCACCCGACCCTCCGCCCACCACACCATCCGACCACCCGGGGAGCCCGACCCCAGCAGAACCCTAAACCCTACACCATCCACGGAGGCGGACCCGACCTTGAACCCTAAACCCTAGACCCTGAACCACACACGATCGACCATCCAACCATGCGACCTTCCCGACGTCCTACAACCCGACCACCCGACCATCCGACCATCCTGCCATCCCGCGACCCGCCGTGAACCCTAAACCCTACACCATCCAGGGAGTCGGACCCGACCTTGAACCCTAAACCCTAGACCCTGAACCACACACAATCGACCATCCAACCATGCG